CAAAGTTAAATTTTTGCAGCAAAAATGTGTAAGAATATCCTCTCATTGGCCAGGTTCCAACATCTTTGTAATACAAATGTTTTAAAAATTTCCGTTGCACACTTTCAAGTAACATAATTTGTTTGTTGTAATAAGGGAACCACGCAACGCAGCAATATTGTACGTTAGAATGTACCAATGCAAAGAAAAGAGTAACAAGTGCTTGAATATCACTAAAACTTTTACAGTTTCTCAAAATAAAACCTGACATTTTTATACACTTTGAAACTAAGTATTCTATATGAGAATTGAATGAAAATTGATTGTCAAATAACACTCCTAAATCCTTAACAGTTGAACATCTCGATATCGCATTGGCACTAATTGTACAGTTAAAGATAACAAGTGTTTTGCATAAACTGTACGTAACAATCTTGCATTTGTTAATATTAATTGAAAAGTAATTATCTCTACACCAGTTGAAAAAGTTATTGACATCCTCTTGGAGTAACAAACTGTCAGGAAAACCTACGATTTTGCGAAATATTTTTATGTCATCTGCAAACATGAGAACCTGTGTTTAAATACAGTTGCTACATCATTAACATACAGGGTGTATCAGAAATAAGTACATTAATTTTAACCAGTAACAGAACTCGTGAAACGGAACAACTTTTTTATCTAGCATTTTTTCGAAAACTCAAGTCGAATTTCGAATTTTCCCACCCATATATTCACGAGCCGTCTATGTTCACCTTAAATAATAACTTAAATAATAGCAACACTACAACAATGAAGAAGGTACCGTAGCAACCGTTTTGACACTGACAATTATTTTTATGTCAATGTTATTAAACGTTGTCTCTCTAAAATTTGTTTGGCACAGATTTCTAATTTATAGACGAAATGTGTTGAAATGGCTTTGTTTTCAAATATGGAATGCACCGATATCGTTTTAACGTACGGTAAAGCTCGGAGAAACGACACTCGCCCCCAACGAATTTTTTCAGAAAACCTCCCAACAGTGTTGGGCAGTATCTAGATACTTGTATCTAAATAAAGTATCTAGATACATTTTTGGGTATCTAGTATCTGTATCTAGATACAATCGAATTTAAGCACAAAATATCTGTATCTAGATACAAAATTAGTGGCGCAGATACAGATACATTTTTTTATTTCACTTTTTTTTCAGTAATTATTAGTTGAGATACTAGTAGTAATTTTTGATACTTCATGTTGGTGATTTTGGTCACATAAACAAAAATAGAGGTAAGAGGTCCACTAATTAATAGTGTTCTGTCACGGAAATTTTCATATTTTAAATACCATCATTTCCTACATCGTAGCCTTTAGTACTTATACATCTTTAAATATAATCCCGAGGGGTAATAAATCTAAGCCATCGTAAGATGGTATTTTAAAAACCATAAACCACAATTCACTATTCACTGCGTTTTACCCTTGTCGGGGCAATGTACTTTATCTGTGTACCTGAGCAACCCGGGTCCGGTAGGCCCGCTGGTTGTATTTGTGTTATTAAATAAGAGTAATTTTAATAGTAAAAATATTTGTTTAAGGTATGTTATTATTTTTAGAAAATAATAACTGCGTGTTACATAATGATGAATTTTTTCAGTTAGCACAAATTAGTTTTGTAAACGATTAATCGAATGTGCAATACATATATTTCTTTCGCATAAATCGTATATTTGTTACTGTTTTATATCTTCATTTTTCAGACAAATGTAGCATCTTTTCCTGTTGCCACATGTGTCATTTCTTCACTTTTTCATTGTTGGACCTTACGCGAGGCGGGCTTGGCAGGTCCGTTTTGTCCTAGAATGTGCCGATTATGTTTAAGTGTAATTATCTTGGTCAATAAAATTAATATTTCTACAACCCTCGGTAGAATAATTTATCGTGATGTATTCTCAGAAATCGTGAAACGAGATTAAAATAAAATGAGTTTCAACAAAAATCTGAAAATTTAAAGTTGCACTCTGGTGATTCCGGCCTGCCAGGCAGCCTTTGATCCTATAAGGGGTTTAAATACCTTTCTAAGAAATTCTACTTATTTTGCCTTAAACGGAACCAGCAATTCTTCCTAAAATTTATATACCTCCCGCACCGGGATAGACGATTACCGGCCATGGTCATAAAAACATCCTAAGCCGATATTGAGGAATAATAATTTATGACAGGTTGCCGACAACAGACCTTCAGCACAGAATAATCATTTCCCGTATTCTTTTGAAATATTAATTTTAATGCTGGAGATAATTATTAGATATACTCAAACACAATTTGGATACTGTAGTATGGGAATAAAAACAAAACAAATATTCTTTTTAAGCGTACATAATAAATATTGCACAATTTGCGACACATCAAACAGCGAAGCGATGGCCTATTTGCAGGAAAAAAGAAAAGATTTTTCAGTCTTGAATAACTATGCTACAGTAAAATGTTTATTTTTTAAATTTAACACCACAATTCCTTCTTCTGCACCTGTGGAACGGGTGTTTAGTAGCGGAAACCAAATTCTGACACCAAGAAGAAATAATTTAGGTGGCAATACGTTCGAAATGTTAATTTTAAAAAATTCATTAAACAATACATAAAAAAATACATAAACATGTTTTCAGTTATTTTATTCGTCAAAGCTTCAAAAAGTATCTGTATCTGTATCTAGATACATTTCGAAAAAATCGAAAACGATCTGTATCTAGATACTTTTATCTTCCATATATCTGTATCTGTATCTAGATACTTTTAAAAGTATCTGTCCCCAACACTGCCTCCCAAATCGTCGTCTGCCAAATGTGCGCAGTTTTAAGAACGTTGCAGCATTTTCGAGACTACGGATCTTTTAAACCTGGATCTCAGGATCGGGGTAAGTTACGTACGACCCTTTTCCTGTAAGCAAAGTGAGTAGACATTATATAAATTCCAATGATACAGAGTGAGACAACATCGCGCAGGCGAAGTCAGATTTTTGGAGCGCCAAGTTAAAATTAACCAATGAGCGACAGACTACGCATGTGTAGCCGGTTGCATTCTGTCAAAGCGGTTTGTTGTCACAGCACAGTATAGATATCAATCAGTAGAGACAACTCGCTGTTTTTACTGACCCGTTTTCATGGGTGGTCGTTTGTCTTGTGACCGTATGAGGGCGCGCAACGCAAGGTACTTCCCTTTCTTACACACTGGGGCATTGAACTGCGGTACTTTTGTTATCTAGTGACGTTAATGTGAATTGCGAAATATTTGAAATTTGGCAGTTTAGTTGCATTGGTTTTGATGATTTAAGGCTGATCTTCCGGTGTAATTATTGCAGTTAAGTGTAATTTTCACAGAGACATTTTAAAAAGCGTTGTTCACGTTTTCATAGGACCATTGTTTACTGTTAATTTTTTTGTTGTAAAAAAATTAAATGTACATATATTAGCATTTTCTAATAACGTTGAATTTTACAACCATTTACAGCCATCATGAAAAAGAAATTAATGAAACGTAAAATCGTAATCAGAGAAGCGGGCCACATCTAAATTTCAACATGGCATCCCCGTTATAGGGCGCTTAATTAATTATTTATTATAATAGACTGTGTGGTTTCTAAGATCAACTAGTTATAAAATGTTATTGTTATTACACTATTTTTAAGTCTTTTCCAAAAATTCATTTGCACAAAGTATAGTAAATTGTGTACACGAATCAATTTTAAAATGAAGCGTTTGTGATCCTTTTTAAATTGGGTGGCGACATCTAGAAATATTTTGGACAACGACCACCGATGACGGCTTAAAATTCGGGTCAAAAAGATCAAAGGCGCCGACACGAGTTGTCCATACTGACTGTTGTCTATACTGTGGTCACAGGCCTTTGCTCTGCTGCCGGAGTGCCGGATACTATTTCCAACGTGGTTTTGAAGATGCGTGCGCACGGAAAGTCACGATGGAAGTTTTACGATCTTACAGGAAAAGGGTCAATAGACTTGCTAATATTGAAGAGGCTGTTTTGAATAGTGGTGAAGTTCGACCGGGCACTAGCACGTATCACTGTCTAGTGTGATGTATCGGAAAGTAGTATTTGGAGGATACTCAGGGAACAAATGTACCCCTTTCAGAACCGGAAAGTTCAGTTATTGAAACTAACAGACTTACCACGTAGGCAAAACTTTTGTGAGTGGGTTAATAGAAAAATAAACGAACAAGCAAATTTTGTATCTCTTATACCATCAACTGATGAGGTCGGTTACACGAGGGAAGGTGTTCAACATCCACATTTGGGCCGATGAAATTCCGTACGCCATTAGGGAGCAGGATTTTCAATTTCTCTCTAAATGTTTGTCACATTGACAAGATTAGGAAAATCCGTATCCTAGTAACTGTTTTTGACCATAAATTATTAATTATAATAATTATTAGTGTCCATGGGTGACTAAGGATCCATGGGCGGGTAACCTTAATTGGGGTATAACTTTAACAATTTTTAACTTGATAATTAAAAAGTTCTTGACAAAACTCTACTAAAAAAAGTTGTTGAGTTCAATGAGCTCTATAACTGATTAAAATTAATGTACTTATTTCTGAGACACCTGTATAATGAAAATAAGAAGGGTCCTAATGTAGATCCTTGTGGAATACCTGACAATGCAATATAGCAACTTGATTTGTAGCCATTATTAAAAACATAATTTTTTCGTGAAGATAAATATGAGATAAAGAAATTCAATAATGAGTTACACAAACCAATGTTCGCAAGCTTATTGATTAATGTTTGATGGTCTACCTTATCAAATGCTTTAACGAGATCGGTGTAGATGACGTCAAGTTGACTTTTGTTGTCCAATGTTTCAGCAATATTCTGGGACATGCACACGAGGTTTGTGCTAGTGGATCTACCAGCAGTGAAGCCATGCTGAACAGGTGATCGTCGACTTTGTATTTGAAAATAAATTTGTTTATAAATTATAAATTCAAGCATCTTTGAAAAATTGCACAACAACGATATAGGGCGATAATTACAAACCTTAGCTGACTCTCCACTCTTAAACATTGGTATAATTTTTGCAATTTTCCAAAGGTCTGGCAGGCAACAATTTTTAAGAGACCGATTGAAAATAAGGAGGAACGTGGAGGGTTACCGAGAGAAAGAACTTGGTAATAGACAATGTTGTTACCAGGGACTCTATTCACTACAAGCGTTGTCTCTGTCCATGGCCTGGATAGATTACCGTAAGACGTTTGATTCAACATCGCATGAGTTATTGTTTCACTTGTTCAGGTGTCTTGCGATGTCTACCCCACTAGGGAGATGCATAAAAGATATGTTGCCGCTTTGGCGAACTCGCTTCACCATAACATCGGAGTTGGTAATGCTCAGAAGGGGAGTTTTTCAGGGTGATTCCCTAAGTCCCCTTTTGTTCTACATCTCACTGCTGCAGCTCTCCATTGCCTTAAAGCGGACCTGTGGATATATGTGTGGACCACCAAGCAATCGGAGGCATCAGACCACCCATTTGTTTTATCTGGATGAGAAAGATTCCAAACAATCTCTCCAGGGTCCAGGAGTATACACGGGACGTAGACATGGAACTGCGAGCTGACAAGCGCGCAGTTTTCCATTTGCGGAGAGGACGATCGCCGGAGTTCTCTCAAGACGTGCAACTCGCTAACGGAAGCATCTTCAGAGATCTGGATGACAAGAGACATACAAATATCTTGGCATAGAGCAACAGCGTGCACATGACGCTCCCAAGGTTAAAGAAACTCTTCGCGGCAAATATAGGACCCTGCTTCGGAACATTTGGTCTTCCGAACACACGGGACAAAACAAGTTGTCAGCTACCGGTATGCTTGCCGTTTCAGTCCTGCTCTACTCCTTTGGAGTAGTGAAGTGAACAGTTGATGAGTTGCACAAGGTCGACAGGGATGTCCGGAAGATAATGCAGCAACGAAGTTTGCATCCTAAGTCTTCCGTTCCCCGTTTGTATTTCTCACGACATCGAGGAGGCCGGGGACTCCTTAGTTTGGAAGGCATGCATCGCAGAGTGGTCCTGGGATTAGCACTGAAGATCCTTAAGAACTCAGATCCCCTCGTGCGAATGGTAAACAGCCACGAGAACGCGAGGGCGGACGAGTTTATTTTTAAGGCCGCTGAAGAATTTGGTCTCAGTTTTGGACCGGCGACGAGGAGACAACTTTGAGTTGGCAACCGACTTGCAGCTCGACCACCTAAGAATCTAAATAAAGGTTGCTGAACAGAATATGTTGTACAGGCAGCATGTTGATAGACAGGGTATGTTCTACCAGAACATCGAGACACGGAGTTTGTCAACAAGGCTGACCTTCAAATATCCAAGGTCGGTCGGGATTATGTCTGAAACTGAGGGATTCATCGCGGCCTGCCAAGATAACGTGATAAACACTTTGGTGCCTGTTAGCTGCAGGGCTTGTCGAAGGGCGCTACAGACGCTTATGCACTTGCTGTCGGCATGTTCGGGAAAATCAGTCTCTGCGTACATCCATCGACATAACGCGGCATTACGGGTGCTACATTACCATCTTTGGCACTCATATGAGATAGAACAGGAACCGGTGCCACCTTATTTGCCGGGAGATATTAAATCCGTTGTCGGGAAGGAGAGGTGTCAAATTTTTTGGAACTATCCGTTCCCGACCGTCAGGCGTATATATGCCAACCAGTAGCGGCTCGTGGTCTTTTCGTTAGGGGAGGCAACATTTTCGTTTCAAAATCAGCAGGTATTAATTAACATGTTCGCAATTACTTTTGTTAAAAGACATATTGTTTATCCGTTTTTATGAAAACAATGCAAATAACTCTGAGTCAGTAACATATTTCTATAAGTATAGATACACTTCTCGAATAAAAAACATTTAATTGCTTCACAAAAACCATCGAGGTGTAAAGACAGGAGAATTTGCTTTATTAGCATTAAATATTAATTCATATGATCTAGGGCTGATTTAAATATATTAATCAGTGCTTTAATAAAGTTCTGCTCAAATCTGGATGAGAGGTTCCTAAATATTTGACATACAATTGTTCGTCGTAAGAAAACCGTGCTTAAGTATTTAAACTTTAAAAAAAATTCTACAATGTCGTTAGAGAATTAGAGATTCTTATATTCCTATCAAATGGAAAACTGACATTTGCATTGTCTTAATGTTTTCAAGTTAACTTAAAAGTTTGAATACCTACATAACTTTGGCAATGCACATGCAGTGAACACCTTTTCTCGCGTTTAATTAATGCACAACTAAATGCACACTAAATGAATTCAGCATCCCTGTTCAGCATTGTGCAGTTTCATCGTGAGATTAAAAAATTCGATCTGATTGGCTTAAGGATGGTAGGCGTTGGTGCCTGCGCTGGCGCTTTGATAAAGCACTGCTTGTTTTATATTGGTTTTAGAATATTAATAAAACCAGCTTCTACAATTATTTGTTTATTCTAATCTCTTACGTATCTAACAACATTCTCTAAGCCTACTTCTATAACACCCCCCTTATTAATTGTAATACATGACAATTAGTACAAAATATAGTCTTTAAATCGCGAGGGTGTTCTTCGTTGTCTCTGACTAACACTTTGCTTTGATACATCTATAAATTTGTCATCATCATTGTCGTCACAGTTAATAATAGGAACGTATTCGTTAAGAGAATCCCTTAAATGTATACTATTTCTTCTCAACAATTGGCCTTTCCTATCTTTTACAATATATGACCTAGGTTCATTACATTTATTTACAATTTTTGTCGACTCCCATTTACCTCCCTTTTGTACGGTAACATTTTGATTGTTCACAAAATTAGGTTTAGCTTTTGTAGTCCTGTCATAGTAGTATTTTGTCTGTTGTTGTTTGGTGTGTAATTTCTTGATTACATTGTTTGGATCAACTGTGTTAAATTCTAAAGTACGTTGAGGAACTGGCAGTTTGGTTTTGATCTTTCGATTAAAAACTAATTCTGCAGGAGATAGACCTACACCAACAATTTTTGTCGATCTGTAAGACATTAAACCTGTTGTTAACTCACAGCTCTTTTTTAAAAGTGACTTGGCTATTTTTACCCCACTTTCTGCAAAGCCATTACTTCTAGGATAATGTGGACTACTTGTTGTTATTTTAAACCCATACTCATCCGAAAATTTTTTGAAACTATAAGAAGAATATGGCATATTATCAGCTATCAGTAAATCCGGTATTTCAAAGTTAGCAAAAAATTTTTTAAACTGTTTTATCAATTCAATTGAGTTTTTCTCTCTAATTGGAACTACATCAAGCCATTTAGAGTAATAGTCAAAAATTATTAAATAATTATTCTTTGCATATTCACATATGTCTGATCCTATTTTAGAAAATGGTCTACCCGGTAAAGGATGACTTATCAATGGTTCTTTTGCATTTGATGAACGATTTGATTCACAAATTTTACAACTTTTAATAAATGTGATAATCTCTTTATCATAATTTGGCCAGTATAATGCTTCTTTTGCTCGACTTAAAGTTTTATTAACACCGAAATGACTTTCATGAAGTAAATTCAACATACTTCTACGTAAACTTGGTGGTACTAACAACCTATTTTTAAACAAAATTATTCCGTCAACAATAGTCAAGTCGTTTCTAACACTGTGATAAAATTTTAAAATTTTGGAATTGTCATCAATATTATGTATTTTATTGGGCCATTCAGTTAAACAATATTCTTTTACTTTATTTAGAACAGGATCTGCTTGAGTTTCCTTTTGAAATGTTACTTTTTTATTCTCTGAAATGTTTACAATTGCATGTATGTTATGTACTACTTCAAGCATCGATTCATCATCCTCCACTGGATCATTTAAATAATTTCTGGACAACAAATCAGCAACATGTAAAAATTTTCCTGGCATATACTCACATTTTATATCATACCGTACCAGTTTTAATTTAATTCTCTGTAACCTAGGAGAAATGATGTCAGCAATTTTTTTATTCATTATTGAAACCAGTGGCTTATGATCAGTACAGATTGTTACTTGCTTGCCATATATATAATTACTAGCGGAACCCGGCAGACGTTGTCCTGCTTGTGTATATATTTACTTTGTATATATGTGGATATAAATGTATGGTCTGGAGCGCAGAATGCGTTGTAGAAAACTGAATAATAAGATAACTCATATTGATGATATTCCATTTATTTTCATTAGTATACACAATGTACACATTTTTGTATTAGTAATTCACGTGAATGAACAAAATTTTTGACTATTGTATTCGCTATATATGCTAGTCCAAAAGGTATAAGGTTATATGACCATTATAAAAGTAGTTGACCGCAAATAAGTACCCCCTTTGTGTGGTTCGTACTAAGCTTACCGGTTGGCAATAAATCGTCTTCTCAACATTTCTTGCTCATATTTAACAGGGCCGGCTTTCAAAGCGAGTGGTGATTTCGGAACCCTCAGCGGCTGCAGGTAGTAAAGAAATAGTGGAGTGGTGGATTTACATATTTAGTGAAAGCCGCCCCTGAACGAAACCACAACAGCCGGTCGAGCTCCATTGGACACGTTATTTACGACCCTAAAACCTTTTCTATTGTAAACAACTTAACTTCGACACAATGGGATGATTTTATGATGGCCATATAACCTTATAGCTTTTGGTTCACTATAACTGAAACAACTTGAACACATTTTAATCAATACTAACATCTATCGTAACGTTAGTGGGTAAACAATATTTTTGGTTTTTCGATTTGGTGTATAGACGTACAAAGTTTTTGGAATTCCTACTCTGGAGCAAGCAACATACAGTTGACCATGCGAAAAACATGGATTTCCTAAATTTAATCTGGCAACGCGCAGAGACTGCCCTTGGGCATTGTTGATTGCCATCGCGAAAGCAAGACGCACAGGAACTGTACCTAGTCGTTTGAATGTAAAGGGCAAATCAGTAGGAACCATTGGAATGCGCGGAATCAGTTTGATTTTTTGGATGGCATTTTCAGTAATCTCTAGTAATTCACTCTTTGTTATTACTGAGGATTGTAGACAGTGAACATCACTAATGATTTTATTTTGCGGTCAATACGATTTTTGTTGTAATACCAACGAAAACAATGCTGTCATTGGTGCCGCCATATATCTAATACTTGCTAACTCTTCAGAAGTAACATAGAAACGGTGTTCACGGACAAAGGGAGACGGAAGATATTGTTTTCTGTCTAGAAAAGTACCGAGGGTCTGTGCGCACGTACACAAAATAGAAGCGAACGTATGAAATGTCAAAACACATCTAGTCACGTTATCGACTAAAAATCAAGCAAGTATGAGTATATGAGCAGTACTGTTTGGTACTATAGAGAGACAAAGAGGTCCGATGTATTGCTCTGCCGTTGTGTTTTCGGACTCTTTTGAGGCCTGATAGCAATATAGTAGTATTAGATATATGTGTGCCGCTGATTCTCAAAGTTCATAATACTTTAACAGAGAGGTTGATGTGCTGCAGTGCCATCTAGTGGCAGGTTACAGCAAAATCGATAACGCGAAAATAATCTCCATGGTCAAATACCAACGTATATCAATTTTCATGAGGATCGGTTGATTGGTACAGAAGTTGATGTGTTGCAGCGCCATCTAGTGGCGAGTTACAGCAAAGTGGATAGGGCGAAAATATTCTCCATAGTCAAATGCCAACGTGTACCAATTTTTATCAGAATCGGTTGAACGGTGTAGAAGTTGATGTGCTGTAGCGCCATCTAGTGGCTAGTTACAGCAAAGCGGATACCACAAAAACCTTCTCCATGAAAAACCACTTACATGTGCCAAATTTCATGGTGATCGGTCAAACGATTTCGGAGTCTATCGATCACAGATATATATATATACCAACATCCATTTTTATATATTAAGATGAAATTTTTTTACTGCAAACGCCATAGCCAAAAACTCTTTTTCAATTTGAGCATAATTTTGCTCTACTGTTGTCATACTACGCGATGCAAACGAGACTGGTCTTCCTTCTTGCAACAAGCAACAACCTAAACCACTCTTAGAAGCATCTGTATGTATCGTTATTTCTTTTTTATCATCAAAATTTGTCAGTACAGGTGCTACAGTAAGCATATTTTTGATTTGATCATAAATATTTTGATGTAGTTCAGTCCATGAAAAAATTATATTATTTTTTAATAAATTTCGCAATGGATCTGTAATTTCTGACAAATTAGGCAAAAAGTTTCGAAAATAATTAAACATGCCTAATACCTTTTGTAAATCTTTCTTATTTTTGGGTTCTTTTAATTGAATTATTGATTTAATCCTATCTGGATCTGGTTGCATGCCATCTTTTGAAAATAAATGACCTAAATATTTAACTTGACTTTTTCTATATTGTACTTTACTTTGATTAAATTTAATATTTAACTTTCTGGCTCTATCAATAACTTTATTGAGTATTGCATCATGTTCTTCTTCAGTCTCCCCTGCAATTAATAAGTCATCAATATATACAGTAACTCCCTCAATGTCTCCAAAATTGTTTGTATTTAATTTTTGAAACAACTCTGGTGCTGTTTTCAGACCAAAGGGTAACCTGTTGAATTGATAATACCCAAACGGACTACTGAATGTACAAATCTGCTGTGATTTATCATCAAGTTGCACGTGATAAAAACCATCTTTAAGATCTAGTACAGTATAGCAAACTTTATTTTTCAATTTTGCAGTTATTTCCTCCATTGTTGGCATAAGGCAATACTCCCTTTCGATATTTTTATTTATATCAGCTGGATGTAGACAAATTCTTAAACTACCATTCGGTTTTTCAACAATAACCAAATTGCTAGCCCATTCAACTGGTCTATTAACTTTACTTATTATACCTTTTTGCTCTAAATCATTTAAAGTCAATTTTAATTTATTTTTAATTGAAATTGGGACTCTTCTAGGTGGTCTGTTAACAGGGATCGCATTTTTTCTTAACAATATTTTATGTACACCCCCAAATTTACCTGTTCCCACAAACAAATCTTTATTTTCATCAAGAAAATTTTCTTCAGTTAATGTTTTTAAATTATTTACTCTCTTGACGAGACCTAACTGAATGCACGCATTTAATCCCAACAAAGGTTGATTATTATTATTACACACATAGAAACTAATCAAGTGTCGTTTACCTTTAACAGTACAGTCCAAGTCAATAAATCCTAAAGGCTTAATTTTATATCCTCCCCATGACTCTAACAACATTTTTGTGTCCCTGACTATCTTATTCATACACTTGACTTGCCTCACTAACTTTTCTGGAATTGTGTTAACCTCCGCCCCAGTATCTAATTTCATTTTCACAACAGAACCGCATAATTTTACATCTTCATACCACGCTTTACCAACAGTGTTAACACCCGAACAATATTTCTTAATGCCTTCCACCATAAGCGTTGCTTCTGAACCACTAGCAGTGAATTCGTCATTCTTAACTTCTCTAACTTCCTTAACTCTACAACAAATTTTAAAGTGATTCATTTTACCACACCGGTGGCACTTCTTTCCAAAAGCAGGACAATTACGAACACAATGCTTTGTTTTACACCTGGTACACAAAAATCTCGTTACTGTTTCTTGTTTCTTCTGACTATCGTCTTGCTGTTTCTTCTTATAAGTTTCTGAACTTGCATTCTTCTTCTGGAGTGCTTCCACAGCTTTCGCTCCTTCTGTCTGCACCGTCTGTATATAGCCCTTGGCTGCTTCATTTGTTCTACACATGGTGACCACATCTGCCAGGGTGACACTTCCTTTAACAATTAACTTTTGCTGTACTTCTTTGTCAGATATTCCAAAGATTATCCTATCTCGTAGCATTTCTTCGGAGTCTTTGAATTCACATCTTTTAACTGCAGTCCTCAAATCATTCACAAAATGATCGAAAGATTCACCACACTCTTGTTTTCGATTGTAAAACAAGAATCTTTCATAGACTATGCTTTTCCTAGGATTAACATACTTCATAAACTCTTCCACGACCGTTTTATATACTTTCTTCTGTGCGTCTGTCAACTCAAAGTTACTGTATATTTCAATACCCTCTTCTCCCAATACATTAAGGAGTATGGCAATTTTTACTGGATCCTCTTTTAGGCTTCCACCACTTGCCAACATATAAACTTCAAATTGACGTATAAATTTTGTGAAATTTTCCTGCACATTTCCTTCAAAACTAAACTTTCTCGGCGGTTTGATATCCATTTTCTTCAACTATAATTATTCGTTCATCAAACTACTGCACCGACTGCGCCATGTTTTATATTGGTTTTAGAATATTAATAAAACGAGCTTCTACAATTATTTGTTTATTCTAATCTCTTACGTATCTAACAACATTCTCTAAGCCTACTTCTATAACACTGCTGACTATTGTCTTTCTCAAAAACATATTAGCATCACTGACTAATCATGCTGAAGATATCCGTCTATCTGAGGCATGTCTCTGTCTGAAGCTAGCCTACACGGTGATGATCAGCACTTATTCCTGTCGAAAGCGCGTACTTCAAAGTATGTTACCAAGACGCGTTTTAACAAATCAGTGTTCTATAAAAGTTATTTGCAATATTCAATATATCTTTAAAATATATTTGAAGTTGACATATATTAAAACAAAAAACCATACAAAAAACTAATAGTCATTTTTCCAGGGGAGGCACTGCCTCCCATGACGAGCTGCCACTGATGCCAACAAACGTGATATGGTCCTCATCGATAAAGAACGCAAGACTATGCACGTCATCGAGTTCTCTGCTCCGGTAGCGGTTACGCTGCTATCGGAATTGAAGAGCATTCCAGCTTGCAGGAACTCTGCGAAGATACTGTTAGGCCGGATGCAGCAAGCTGTCATCCTTGGTTCGTTGCGTCTGTTTAGAGCACATGATTGCGGAAGAAGGTAACTGCAGAAAAAAAAAACTTCCTTTTTATTGTACTGGTGCGGTTGCAGTGAAGAGTCGGAACTCACTGTGACCCCGTCCAGGTTTTAGTAAAAAAAATATTAATAACAAGTTTGTTATACTTCACTTTAAAAATAGATACCTACAATTTTAAAGAGGAATTTTATTTTCAAAACTCACAAAAACTGAATCACTTGACCAGAACTTTCAAGCAGGCAATTTTTTGTTTGAATGTACAAACTTTGGATGAGCGGTGGCTTAAATGAACCTGACACCACCTCACTCTCTACTGTACCCCTGTGACGAATTCCAACACTTTTCCTTCTCAGAAGCCGCCGAAATCGACCGCGTAACTTCAGCCTTTCTCGAAAGTACTTGAGCCGGGCTTGATGGTTCGTTCCACTTTACGGAACTCTTAAGGATAAGTAAGCTTTAAGAATGCTGGTGCAAGTAGCCATAAGGGATGAGAAAAAAAAAAAAAATAGACACAAATTTGCAGCGAAGGAAGTTGAAAAACGGAAGAGAGGTAGACCAAGCAAAATTTGGAAGGAAGAAGCATGGGTAGCAGCGAAGAAAAGTTGAACAAGTTGGAAAGAACTATAGAATTAATATCAAACTATAATCAAGGTAAAAATATGAATAAAATAGGATACATTCATACTTGTTTATAAAAACATACAGTAATTACATGTTCGTTTTAACTTCTTAATGATATTGTAACAAATAATGTTATTCTATACATTCTAACGCTGACTTGTATCTCTTGGCCTATACACAATTCCACGACTCTTCATTTCCCGTATTATTCCAGCTGGTAGCCGACCTGATACGGATATTGCATAGACTCCTTTACAGAATCGATCTGAAACATGAGAAAATTACTGGAAATGATAAAAAATAAACTAGATTATTATTATTAGGACCCCCCACTGATCGGCATTCAGGCAAGACTTAGTACGTACGAAGATCACGGTTGTAGAATAGATAGGTTTGTACACTAATGGAAGGAAAGGACACGTACAGCTAGCACCTCTACCTTGTTGAGCGGTAATCATTTTAGTTACTTTGGGGATTTTCGTTTACGTTGCTTTATGAACAATACAAAATTTTGTAAATGACATTTGATCGGAATCGATAAGTCCGATTTCTTTTATTAATTACATCGGTTATAAACAGATGCCTATAGAGTTCTGTGTCTTTCTATGGTGTCTTTAAAACGTCAAAAACCAGGCGACGCGATCGGCAATTGGCGTCGCGTCGCGTCGCTAATTTTTTTAGCATACATTTGCATAATATGCAAATGTATGCTAGTGTATCAACCTATTCTACAACCGTGACTAAGACCAACTAATGATATGCATTAATCAGATAAATTAATAAGAAACTTTTAAGATCCTAGAATTACAGCATACAAATTCGTCTGCTATTATTCTCTAATCTCACTCCATCTCTAAAAGACTAGCCTAACTACCGATCATTTATCCGCGCATCACTTGAAATGTGAGCTACACTACTTTGAACTACTGGTGCTAACTTATTCTGACTGACATGATCAGATTGTTCAAGAAACTTGCGAACAATAAGGTAGAATTGAAATTTTCTCAAGACTTAGCATTGCTTTTATTTCTATTGATAAATTGCATCTATTTTGAAATGTTGGTGTGATATGTTTGTATTATGTTGTGTGTGTTGTATGAACAGCAATATTAATGAGAATGGCTTCATTGGTGTGTTTCTTTATAAGTATGATATCTGGTCTGCTGGATGTAATGTTTCTGTTTGTAAGTTTGTATTTTGCGATTTGAATATAGCTTGTATTTGGTGTTTTCAAGGAATGGAGATGGAATATAAGTGTAATAGGGTGTTGTATCTTGGATGAAGTTTAGATTTGTTTCTAAGTCTTTGTGAATGATTGCGTTGTCGTGTCTAGCTTTGTAGTCAGTTTGTGCCAGGATGCTACAGGATCTAGTTATCTGCTGGGTCGTTTCGGATTTTTCTTTACAAAGTCGACAACAATCGTTTCTTATATTTAGGTTTTTGATTATGTATGTTTTGTAATTCTTGGTGTTGATTATTTGGTCTTGAATAGCAAACAAAAACCCTTCTGTTTCGGCATATAAATTTGATTTTTTTAGCCACATCACAAAAAGACAATCTAAATGTGTGTATGAAGAATATCGCAGATGTATGTCTGATGATAAGATTCGAGACCTGAGGCAACGGTTTCCGGAATAAAATTTGACGAAATTCCGAGTTAAGCATGTGTTTAATTTATTTAAACATAGCGGTAGTCTTCCTGAACCAAAAAGAGTTCGTAATAACCGGGTAACAGGAATTCGGGAGACGGTGGCAGCAGTTGTCAATGAAATAAACGAAAAAAGATTACAACCAATGAATTTTGAGCAACGGAATATGTATTCTACAATAAACGTAAATACAAAATTTGAGAAAAAATCGGCCGAAAAATAAATGAGAAATAATCACTGAAAGTCTTAGGTGAAACACCCAGTACAAGTATGCAGTGCTCTTCAACTGTTAAAATAAGTGCGCAAAATGGGTTGGAGTTTTGAGCGATTTTGACATCTTTTAATGACTGTACGAAGGAGCCTTAATATTTTTTTCCCCTCCTGACATGTAAACAAAACATTCACACACCTTTGACATGCCGCGTAACAATGACTTTACGCACCAAATATCAATTTACCGTTGTTTTACCGCCTTTGGGTGCCAAAGTAGCTCAATCGAGTTTGTATTTACTTGAGTAACAAGGCACTCGTAGATCAAATAGTATCTGAACAACCTGCACTCATTATCAACGGAATTGAAATTAAAAGTCTCCCATCTTCTGTCGTGCTTAAGTATGATGATACTAACTATATACTTCTCTTAAGTTTCGACGATGTCTGCTTTAAATGTAAACTGTAGACCAAGTTTATCCCAGTAATAAACGACAAACTACTAACGATGATCCAAATGAAGTAACTCCTTTGGATCTGACTCAAATGTTCCGTGATAAAGATGCTCGTGAAAAGAGAAAGCCCAAAAAATGAAAATTAGTGACTCACTTGAAGTCTCACGCCTACATCTGAACTGTTGTCACCTGTTAGACAATTAATTGATAATTCTGGGGTATAGTATCCGGTCGACTTCAACCAGTTTGTAGAGTTTATGGATAAGGTGATAGGAGATAGCAACGTGATGGATCTTATTAACAAATACACAATTGATGTACAGGGAATGTTAAATTTGTTATATGACGTATACCCTCTTGTAGAGCACAAAAGCATAAAAAATAAATGTTTAAAAGCCCCACGTAAACTGAAAAAGGCAAACTTTGTAGATCAAACATCACCTGATCCCGTTTCTCCAACAGAGTCGTTTCTAATTTCTCCTCTTCAAGATGAATACTAATAAGTTTTCTCAAGCATTTTGTAACCCTTTAATAGCATATACTAACATAGCATCTTTACCTGCAAAATATGATGAATTCTGTTCTTTTGTTGCCTCGAATAAACCCGCAATATTTATAATCACTGAAAGTTGGTTAAATGTAGTAATACCCGATTCTCTATACTCTTTACCAGGTTATTCAATATACAGGGCTGACCGAAAAGGTAGACGTGATGGGGGTGTATGTATCTATGTATATCATTCGATTACTTCTGCATTCAAAGTCACTCCTCTTGATGTCAACATTGATAATATGGAAACTCTCTTTCTAAATTTCAAAATTAACACTAGTTCGCTTCTACTTGGGTGTATTTATAGGCCTTCATCTACTGTTATTAATGATGACTTAGTGTTATTTAATACTCTGGATCGCTTATTTGAAAAATACACTCATTTATTGCTATTTGACGATTTTAATATGCCGGAAATAAACTGGATGTCTTGTCTGTCAAATCCTCGCTCCACTTCAGAGCAATTGCTAGAAAAATTATTGCAGAACTCGCATCTTGTTCAGATGACAAATCAACCGACGAGGTATAGACAAAACCAAGATCCATCCAGATTAGATCTTATTCTATCATCTGACGAAAATCTATTCACAAACATACAGTATTTAGTACCATGTAGTTATTTCAGGAGAACTACAGTTATGCTACAAAGTAATACCGCATACGGACGTCAAAAATAAATCCATCATTAACTTTGCTGAAGTTAACTCCGAATTTGTTAATCTAGACTGGACTTCAATCTTATCGAGCTCAAACATTTTGGAAAATTGGGCCGTTTTCAAAATTACCTTCAACATGGTAGTAGCAAAACATACGGTAATATTTACATAAAAAAAATCTGGTACAAAGCCGTGGATCAACTCGAGAATATTAAAAATGGTTAAGGAAAAACGTCGCCTTTGGAAAATTTACAAACGTTCTAGAAATCAAAGTGATTATGTATCACACCGAACATATTCGAATAGATTGTCGAATACAATAAAGAAAGCTAGAATTTCATTTGAAAATAACGTTGCTAAGTCAAAGGATCCCAAACTTCTGTACAAATATATAAGGTCAAGTATTAACGGATTGGCAGAAACTCCACAACTCAAAAATTATAACAATTACTGATAATTATGTTACTGCCGAGGATTTCGCGGACAGTTTTTCAGCAAAGTACTTGGTCGAACCACCTATTCATTCTTCGTTGACCTCTGATTCCATTGTCCATTCTTCTATTCTCATGGATGTCGAATTCTCGGAGGGCAACATATCAAAAAAAAATTGGTCTAAAGAGTTTAGACAGGACTTCCCTCGCTGTCGGAAACTTGACGACTGCATGCCTATTGTGTTTTTTTTCTCATTACATTTTTGTAGTGGGAATTTAAAAAAAAATTGCGATGACGTCATCAACATTTTTGCAAGGACACGTATATCAGTTGGGATAGATGTAGTGTAATACTAAGAAAAATCTCCCTTATTTTGATTTAATATCGAAAAACCACCCTAATTTTCAATCGAAAATTCTCACGTCAAAATATTTGCTTTTTTTTAAAAGTCGGTGTGCCTTTTGTTCGTTGAAATCTCTACTTTCTGATGGTATAAAAATAGTATACATTACTATGGCAAATTTTCACAGGAAATCCAAAAATCAAAAAACTCGAATTCGAATTTTTTTTTAATCATGTAAAATTTTGAGCTATTTATTAAAATTTACACTTTAATTACTCGAAAAAAGTAAGATTCCATGTTACACTGATAAACTCAATAATTTAAAATCCAAGAAACAAACGCCTTCTGTTGGTGGGAGATTTGTCAATATGAAAGATGATTTAATTCTTGCCAATTAGAGATTTTCGAAATCTTAATCAGTGTTATATTGTCATTTTTACATTTATAAATATATTTGACTAATTGTAATCCATTTTTTGCGATATCTTCTTTGTTTGCATGTTTTTATAAAACATATTGGCCAAATTAGACAAATTTTTATCGTCTAACTAGCAGACCCAGCAAACGTTTTTTTGCCATATAAATCATTTCTAGTGAATATTTTAGTAGTTAAATAAAAAAAAATTGGTCTAAAGAGTTTAGACAGTACTTCCCTCGCTGTCGGAAACGTGACGACTGCATGCCTATTATGTTTTTTTTTCGCAGTGGATTTCAAAGAATTCGGTTTTGTAGTTCCTGAGTAAATCAATAAAATAAATTTACGCATTCATTAATTTTTTTGAGTCACCCTGTATATGCAAATCCAAAAAAACATCAATGGAGTGATAAATCACAAGTACAGACTCATCATATTTTGTACAGTTTAGATAGGATTTATTCGGCAAACTTTCGAGCTGACGTCATCAATTTTTTGGAGGGGTAAGCAAATGTATTTTGACTAAACATTTATTATGCTCTTTATGACCTTAAA